GTTGATGCTGATGATGTCGTCACAAAAGAGGAACAACTCTATGTTCTGTTCAACGCAAAGAGGAAATGCGAGCTGGTGATCAAGTCCACACATAAAACTGGTAAGTTATAAATGTTTTATTCTTTAAAAAAGAAAGTGCTAATCTGGGTGTCACTGCATAGACATCCACTGTTATCTTCAGCTGTTGGGCACCTTTAATGGACGTAGGAGTTGTGGACACATGGAGGTCTCTCAGACCCCTTTGCTACGCCACATCCAATCAGGTTGATGCTAAAACGAACTGGCATTGATTGGGCTGGATCTCTCAGTAACACTCCATCAGTCAGTGCCAAAGCCAACAGAATCCATTAGTTTCTATTACACTGGCCTGACACCTCGTTAGTTAAATTTATTTAAGTAAATAAGAAGCTGTCTGTCAGCTCCTCGGTTTAAAAAAGCACAAGTTTTAGTCTTAGACTATCTTGGTGATACCAAACATTTTTTGCATGTTTGCGTTTCTACATGTAAATCTGATCGCTAAAAGTAATGATAAGTAACATAATTCCTTGTTTGGATAGGATACACGTATATGAAGTGTTTAAAACGATTTAGCATCTGAAACCTTTTCAACTGGACAGGATTTTTTTACTTCAGAGCGCCATGGGAAGTCAAACCTTACCTTTCCTGTTCTTAACAGGTTCTCATTTCATCGGCTCTGAATGATTTATGTGATATTTTTGGATATCAGAAAGCCTGGTTTTTCCTTATATCAATCATCATTAGAACAGAACACATTTTACACAGCTCCAGACTTTCTACTCTGCACTGTAATCAAACCGGTTGCACATTTCATCGTCTTATCACACTGTTGGCGCGTGAAGTGATTCACACATCACGATCAAATGCACTGGCTTCAGTCAGGCTGCCTTGATAGTTATGTGTTTCGGATGAGAACGTTGGTTACGTGTGTAACACTTGTTCCCTGAGAGTCCATTATACTTAATGAGCCAATGCACATTGGGATGCGATAATTGCAACAGCTGCTCTGCCTCACAGCACAGGTATATAATAAAAACGGAGGTGTGTCACATCTTCAGGTAGTCACTGAGGAGCCAAGCTGTGATCCGGCCGCCCCGCGGTGGACAACCAGACATGCAACTCCTTCAGGGAACGAGGGTTACATACATGACCGAGACGCTCCATTTCAGTCGGCCACGTTCATAGCCTCACCGGTAGTGACCAACGAATAGGAATCTCTACCAAAGCGGCACAGATGCTGCCCCTTCCAGTGCCCTTTGAAAGCCTCCTGATGCCCGATGGGGCGAAGGATAGGACACGGCTTACTCAGAGAATGTCACTGCTCTTCCGCATGACCTGACCACTGAGGAACACTGGGAAAGCGTGCCCTTTCCACTGAAAAAGAAACTCTACGGAAGGCACAGTAACCCACTAGGGCCGAATTACATATGGCTCATCTCAGGCTGGCTCAGCCAGATTAGGGTGGAGAGATACAGGCTTCTGTTTAGGAGCTATACCGTGGAAATGTACACATATGAGATCCCCTCAGGGCCACTGCTTGGAGACGGCCTTTCCCTTCTGCTGGCCTCCGTAACAGACGAAGAGCTGGTCTGAGGTCATGAAGCTTTGCGTTTGGTCCATGTGCAGTCGCAGAGCATGGAAAGGTCACAGCACAGCTAGATCTGGGTACCTGCCTCCTCCAAGGGCGGCACTAGCAATTTCACTACCTAGTCCTTGAAGGGAGTGGGAGGAACCTTGGGCACAAATGTGGGCGAGCTCTCACGATCATCCGGCCTTAATTCTATGCACGATTCGTCGACTAGAAATGTCTTCATATCCCCTACCCTCTTAAGGGAAGCCAATGCAACCAGAAGCAATGTCTTCATAGACAAGATGACTGCAAAGGCTCAAACGGGGCGTTCTGCAAATCCCAAGAGGGTATGGAGGAAGGGCAAGTTTGTTTTACCTCCTCGCTCCCCTAAAGAACCTGATAAACATGTCATGCTTCTCGACCGACTTGCCTTCTATTGGATCGTGATAGGCAGAAATTTCGGCAGCATAGACTTTCAGGGTGGAGGGAGGGTTCGGGATCCCGAACTCTCCCTGAAACCCAGCAAGTTTGGGGTCTTCTCGGTGGAAAGAACATCACTTGACGAACAGGTTCCACTTCAGGGCATGAAAGCATGTCTCGAAGACGCTGCTCGAGCCAAAGTGATGGTGTTCACTACCTCTTTGGGTAGGTCACCGAGAACCTCCACATCCCGTCCAGAGACCGGACATGGAGTTTCCAGAGGTCCCGAGCGCCTTGGGGTGCCCCCTCTTAGATGAATTATCTAAGGAGGGGCTGTCACAAGGAGCACGAGTTCTGGGAACCAGGTCCTGGTTGGCCAATAGGAAGCCACCAGCAGGACCTGCTCCTCCTCCTCCTTGACTTTGCACAGATTCTGTGCAAGTAGGCTCACTGGGGGAAATGCATATTTGTGCAGTCCCAATCAGTTTCCAGATCTTGTATGAAACGCATCCTACTCACTCACACAATCAACACATTGGACAAATTTCAACCCATGTGAGCTCAACCTGGCAACCTACAACCCAGTTGCGCAGTCGACATCTGCACCAATAGTAAAATTTTAAAGAGTAACTAAACACTAAACCAACTTTTTTTAGTTAATGATCTGTAAGAATGGATCTTTATTAATACCAGTCATTGATTCGAGTAACTTTTCTGACATTTGTGTATAAAGTGTTTTATTTCTACTATATATGGTGTAAAATTGTCTTAGTGCTGCCCTCTTCAGGTTGAACGGTGGCTACTGCAGTTGAATTTTCCTATTGGGTGTTCCGCACTTCGTGACGTACGCAGGTTTCAGCTCACCACGCGAGCTACGCCCTTGGCAGTATAAAAACCATCTTGTTTGGTCAAAACCACTGTAGGGAGTCAGGAGTTGGAATTGCGAGTATTGAAAACGATCAGGATAGAGTGTTTTAGCGTCTATTTCGTCCCCTCTATCTCCGCTGGGGTCCGCCCACTTTTTCAGCATTTTCAAATATTGCCAGTGGGTGGAGTCAGGCTCTGACCAGGGGTTTAGTTACGCTTTAAGCTTTAAAGCTTTTAAATCATCCAATCCAAGACAAATTGAGTGCCAGAATCGAGTTCTGTTGACGTTTTACGAACACTAACACCAAATTATGCCAAAATGTCCGTTTTGTCGAGTATCTTCATGCGAGCAGACTGAGCAGTCTTAAATGAGTTAAATAAAGTCTTCAATGAAGGTAAAGAGTAGTGAGAGACAACCCGGTCTCATCCCAAGACGTCATATAACTGACGTTTTGGGACGTCTTTTGACCATACGTCAATATTCGCCTTTTTAGGGCCCCCTTAAACGTCGGTAGATGAGGTTATGGGATCCTAACTCTACCCCAGACCTAAACCTAACCCTAAACCTAACCCGTCACCTAACTGACGTTAAAGGTAAAGCGTCAGTTGTATGACGGCCCGGGGCGTTTAAGGGGGCCCTAAAAAGGCGGATATTGACGTACGGTCAAAAAACGTCCCAAGACGTCAGTTATATGACTTTTTGGGATGAGACTGTGTTATGAGAGAATGAGGCGCGCGTGAGATCCTCGTCTCTGTCAGACTCAGCAGCGACCTGTTTTAAAGTGACAGCAGCCAATAAAGCTTTCTGTCATTAAAGTTAATCAAAGAACAAAGGCAACATAGAAAAACACGCACTGCTCTTGACTAAAGAACGTTTGCAACTTTAATAAGGATTTATCTATATATAATTTAAATGTATGCAGTGCAAACTATTTGATAACTTCTTAGAAATTAACTACATTTATATATATATATATATATATATAGACCCCCTCATGCCAAACGATACATTGGCATTGCAACATCAGAAAATGAAAAACAGCATCTGCTAAACGGAAAACAGCATAGCACAGTTCTGTGTAATCCCTTTTGGGTGATTCGCCACGCTAAATAGAGATCTGGGAATAGAAGAGTGTGTGACAGGGTTATATTTTTATGTTTCCTTTCACTGTGGTCACTTCAGTCCCTGGAGCACTGTCTCAAAAGCTTTTAAATAACCTTTTCTGGTGGCCTATTGTCATAGCCAGACTGCTGTATTATTTTCTTCTCATCACAGGCTTATTTTACTTGTGTTAAGTCACTTTTGTCTCGCACCATGAAGCAGTTAGGGAGGTTTTGGTCCAAACTGGAGTGAATGTTGTGGAATCTCTTACACAATGGGTAAAAGTGCTTGACTTTTCAGTTTTAGATGCAAACTTGAGTGAAACATGACACAGAGAAAGAGGACGTTTCCAAGGCTTAAAATAACTATGGTTATACAGGGTTATATATTCAAATTAGAGTATAACCTTTCTCCACTGCATTACATGTTTCATATTTTACTGTTCTCGTCATATATCAGCTTGAAGAGGCGTTTTATTTACATTTTAAAGTGGAAATAAAGTGTCGAGTAATAAACAGGTGTTTACTGATCTACACTGACATTGATCCGACTGCAGCTCTGAACCTTCGAGGAATCCTTCCCTGATCAGCAAACCAGAAGTCCATGAGATCAGGACATAAACCTGACTAAAGACCATATTTGATTATTTACAGTTGGTGCCAATAGCTTTTAATTAATATTTACTGTTTTATAACGTAACGTAACGCAAGCTCGCTCATTTTATTTTATTTTACGCTTATTTTATGCCGACTAAAGACGTCTAATGCAGTATAGAGTGTGACTAATTTCTATAGAACATAAAATATGGAAAATGCAGCTTTGTGTGCAATCACCTCCTTGTTATCCAGTATTCACACTTGACTGGAAAAGTCATGGAAATTCATCGAGTCCCAGTTGAAATGACACCGTATATTAGTGTCAACCTTCATGTCAAGTTTAGTTTAATAGCTTCACTGACATGTTCCTGTTTAGTTTGTAGGTCATGGTTTTCTTTGCCACTGCCTGAATCCGAAAACCCTCAGTCACTATTCCCTGTGGTACAGTCCACTTGAAGAAATTGATTAAAACAAGTGAGTGAATTTGGACAGCCGTGGGCCATACACTGTAAAAAATGATTTTTTTG